GCCCAACCCTGCAGGGCTCTCTCAGCGCATCACCCAGCCTCGCCGCAGAGCAGGATGTGGGCCCGGCATAGACACAGGCCTGGTGTCAGACTCCATCCTGGGTGAGATCCCGTCAGAGCTGGGCCTGGCCGCCTCACAGGGTGCCATTGTGGCAGTGACTGGGAACTGCAAAGCACGTGCTGAAAGACCCTTTAGGGCTTCTTTTCTTCTATGTATCGCCAGGTGGAGAAGAACAGTTCTGGCCCAGCAGGCCTTGCTGCTCCTTGGCTCCGACTTCCACACTTCTGTCTTCAAGGTGTCAGGCGCTTAGGTGACACCCGACCAACTATGGCTGAACAGCAAACCAGAGACAGTGGTGCCCTGCACAGGGCCAGCTTCCAGCACCGAGGACAGGCCGCGGGGCAGGCCACACTGGGGCACCAAGCTGCCCGCCTCATCCTCACCCTCTTGCTGAGCAGAAGCTCTGGACCTCTGGTTCCTCGAGGCTGGGAGTTCGCGTGTGGCTCCTGGAGTGGCCATGGCTCTGTCCCCGCGGCCCAGGGGACATCTCGAATCATGGCGTCTCCCTTTTCCAATGTTCATCCCACACCTGCACGACAGGGCCTCACACGGTGAAACCAGGGAGACTCACCCCACCTCTGTCACCTTCTGAGGGTCCACAGCCAGGCTCAGGTCACCCCACACGGGTGAGGCTCACACAGAGTGCTGAGGACCACAGGGCACAGGGTGTGCATGCCAGCCATGCCACCCAGGGGAGGTCTCCATGGCCTCGCTGCTCTTCCCTGCCTGCAGTGTTGGGAGCCCTGGGTCGGCCTGGGGCGGGGACTTCAGACCTGAAGCAGATGCTGTCAGAGTCCAGACGGGGCTGGGCTCCGGACCCCTCACCCTGGTGCACCCATTCCATGAATCAGTGCTTCCATCTTCAGTGCAGCATGCCTCAGCCAGGGTGGACCAGCAGACATTACCACCGTTCAAATAGCCAGCCTCACCTTGACCTTCCCTGGCTTCGCTCAGGAAGCTCTGCGCGGATCTGACCGAGGACAGCACTCCTCCTTTGGCTATGCCAGAATGGATAAGAGCAATCACGGGCTGCCAGGCCCTGAGCTCCTGGAAGGAGAGCCCTTCCCAGGGAACAAAGCAAGGTGGGACCACTTTAAGGAAGCAGCACTCCTCTGCCTCTGCAGGGAGCAGGCAACTGTGCAGCAGCCAGGCCCAGTCACCCAGCCTCGGCTGTGTGGTCGCTCACGGGACAGCCTCACACCTGCAGGCTGGAAGCAAACCAGGCCCACCAAGTGGGGACCAGCGAGCGACGCCTGACCTTGCAGAACGGCAAGGAGGTCCAAGTGGAGGAGTGGAGTGCAGACCCCATGGGGGGGCGTGGGCCTCAGACAGAGTCCTCTCCCCTCACGCAGGTCTCCCGGGAACAGAGAGAGGCCTCTATGCAAGCAGATGGGAAACAGAATGTCCTTCGGGATGGGGACTCGAACCTTTGTAGACACAGAGCTCGAGTGCCCAAAGTAGGTGTTTCAATTAAAGTGAATTATGTGGCCTCCACTCGCAGCCCCCAAACAAGAACCTCATAAAGTCTCCTGGCGACACCTAACAAGTGTTCCCCCCGCGCATCTGCTGTGAGTGCAGATTGCTCCAGGCTTCTGGGCTGATGTATTCTCCAGATGAGCCCTCAGAGCAAAGACGCTGAGTGTGCCGGCCCGAGGCACATCTGTCCAGCCGCCCGAGGCTCCCAGGCCTCTGACGCACGAGGCCCCTCTGGTGTGGACTCAGTGGCATCTCTCCTGTGACTCACCAGGGGGTGGGCGCACAGCCGTCCAGGACCTTCCAAGTGTGAAATTTCAATTTCTGCATCAGAGCTCTGCATGTCAGCCCCCCAAAAGGGCTTCAAGTGGGAGCAAAGCTGATGCTTTCCAGGTCAGTGTTGCAGCTGGGGAAGCAGGGAGAAGAAAGAGGAATGATTTCCACCTGGCCCACATGGTGGCTGCAAGCTGTGTTTAGAAAGCGCCTCCTTCCCCAAGCAGCCCTGCTTCCAAAAGGTGCAAAGCGGGACGGACGGGTCGGGATGCAGGCCCAGGACAGAGAGGAGCTCGTAAGAGCCGAGCCGAGCCGAGCCGTCCTTGCCATCTGCAGAGGGAGCGGAGACGGCTTGGCTCAGTCAGACTTTGTTCCCTGTCCCCAGACACCTGGCTTCTCCTGCTCACTCTCCCACCCCAGGTCCCTGCCAGGCCTGCACCTGCCCCATCTCTCAGTGCACGCTGTCCCCGGCCCGAAGAAGCCCCCATCCAAGGGAGATGGGTCAGTGCCAAAAGCCAGGTGCATATCTGAACTCACTCTGCCCATACTCCACGAGACAAGGCAGCTGCCACAGGACAGGAACAGGCAGTCAAGGGACAAGACTGGCCCACAGAAGTGATGCCGGCCAGTTCTCCCTCTGGTCACATCACACATCCAGAGCCCTCTCCTGGGCAGAGGTCTGTAACTCTGATTCCCATGGCCCCAGAAGGTGAAGCCAAAGGTGCCCCGAGTTTGCATGATCGCAGCCTCAGTGGGTGAGGCGTGTCTGTCTGCAACCCCAATGCAGTGAGCTGATTCTACCCACACGCAGAGGCCTGGGGCGCCAGCAGCAGCTGGTGTCTGACACTAAGGTCATGACAATGCTGATGGAGCAAAGGGACCGGCCTGGAGGACCTCAAGGACGATGACTCACTGGGACACAGCGGCAACTGGTGGGGGAGGAGGAAGGAGAACTGGCCCAGGCTCCCTGCGAGGCAGGATGGGTCGAGGCAGAGCCCGGGGTCCCTTTGGCTGGAGTCCAACTCCCCAAGGCTGGGGTGGAGACGGATCTGAAGGTGCGAGCGGTCCTGGCAGGCTCTGCGCTCTGCGCTCTGCGCTGCACACGGAGCCTGGACCAGGACAGGTCCACGTGCTTTATTCCACGCTGTCTGCTGCTGGCGGGAAGAGACACTCAGTGCGCGTGGACCTGGTGTGGTGGGTCCAGCTGAGTCCCTTGGGTCAGGGCCACACACAAGCAGGGCACCTGAGGACAGCAGGGCTCTGGGCATGGGGGAGCCCAGGCTTTTAAAAGCAAGAAAGACTTTAGGGTGAGTGACAGCCCTGTGAAGCATGCACACACCTGAGCCCAGCTGGCACTGAAGGGCCCACCGTGAGGAGCCAGGAAGGAGCCCTAGCTGGCGGGAGAGTGGCCCCTCAGGCCTCGGGAGAAGAGCAGCCCGAGAACCAGGACCAGCCTCCCTTCCTACAGCTGGGAAATCACTGCGTGTCGAGTCCAGGGTCACACGCCTTCCACCACACTCAGCCACGGAGTGGGCTGCTCACTGGCCCAAGGGCTTCTGTGGGGCGGTCCTTACACACACACGTGCACACACGCACCCACACAGACCCATACACACATGCATACCCTGTACGCGCCACACACTCCCCGTACCGCACACCACACGTGGGCCATGCACACGCACACACGCACACACGCACATGCACCTGGAACACTGCATCTCTCGGGTGCCCGTGGTCAGGAGGATGGAGCGGCTGGCTGGGCAGCTGGCCTCGGGCCCAGGCTCTCCACCCAGTGCAAGGACCGGCTTCCATGTGAGCCCCCGTCTGAGGGGTCCACGGCACCAGGAACAGGAACTCTGGTCCCCGCTGTCCGTCCACGGCGCACCCGGCCAGGCACACGTGGCACCCCCGTCCGCAGAGCCCGGAGTGGCCAGACTCGGCCCGGGCCCCAGCGCTCCCCTCGCCCTCCACACTGCCCTACCCCACCTCCCGGGACTTGGTCGCGGCTGCCAAGGCCCGTTCCCTTGGACTCCGGCAGGCAGCGCAGCCTGGAGCCGCTCACCACCTGGTTACACTCAGCTCTGCCATCCACGCCCGCTCCTGCCCCAGGCTCCGCCATGGGGACTGCTGCTGTGCGAGGAGAGACCTGAGCCCCGACCAAACCAGCACCCGAACGGCAGCCACCCATTCCTGCACCTGCCCCAACCTGGCAGCGTCAGCCCACAGACGCCAGCTAGAAGTAGAATTAAAGCTGGCGACGTGGACGTGCCCAGCCCGGGCTCCTAAACAGCCAGGCCTCAGGCTATCAGCGGCACCCCATGGGCCAGGCAGGTCTCTGGGGCCAGCGGCACGCCTGCCTCCCCTTTCTTCTCTTTTTCCTACTAGGGATTAAACCCAGGGCCTTCTCACTCGGCCACATCCTTAACCCTTTTTTACTTTGTCACTTAGTTGCCCGGGCTGGGCTTGAACTTGAGACCCGCCTGCCTCAGCCTCCGAGGGTGCTGAGGTCACAAGCATGCTCCACCATGCCTAACGTCTCACCTGCCTTTCTAAGTAGCCAGTGCACCTGAAATTCTGCTCTGGCTGCTCACACCTGTCTCTCCGGATGCTCAGTGTCCGCTCCAGTTAAATCAGAGTGCTCGCCCCAACTCAGAAAAGGCATTGACCCACACAAGGCCACATAAACCTCCCGCTGGCCCAGGGGTTCCGCAGGTGATGAGCGGCAGAGTGGCCAGAGGACGGACCAGGGCAGGAATCTCGGCACCGGGGAGGCACCGGGGAGGCCCCGCCCAGGAGAAGGCTGAGACAGTGGGGTGCTACAGGGGCTCTGTCCTCACGGGCCCGGCACAAAGGATGCCACAGGTGAGGCTTCCCGGGCCAGCACCACTCTGCTGCAGTGGTGACCGTAACCCTGCCAGGCTGGAACTGCTCATGGCCATGCAGATGCGGGAACGGGGGTATGGGAGGGCCCGGTCTCCTCCCGTCTCTCTGTGGGAAACCTCTGTTCAAACCCAGGTCTGTGAGGCTTGGGGAGTTGGGTCCCAGCCTGGAGCAATAGCCAATGCTTCCCCAGCACCCACCACGCCCTGCGCAGCCACACACAGATGCGCAAGGGGAGACTGTGCACGTCTTCTGCCTGGGCCAGGCCCACCCCAGGCCCACCCCAGGCCCACTGTGGACTTCACGGCTGGAAGGAGCCTCAGACCCAGGCGGGAAAACCCGAACTCCTGCACTCGGACTTCCACAAAGTGCAAGGGGGGCCCAGCGCCCCAGCTCCCTGTCCCTTGCACGGCAGGACTCGCACACAGCCCAGCCTGCTTCCACCACCGGCATCAGGCCTCAGTTTCTGACAGATGAGCCAACTTCAGCCCATTAGACAGCAGTGCCATGCACTTCCCTGTAAAACAGAAATCGTGTTTCTCATTTTCTCAGGAAATGCATAGGAAGCCTTTAAAAAGTCATGCATTGCTTAAAATAAAGTATCGAACAAATTAAAAATTACGAGGACCGGGGATTTAGCTCAGTGGTTCCGCTGCCTGCCTCGCAAGCACAAGGACCAGAGTTGGATCCCCGGTACCAAAAAACAAAACAAAACACGCCCCCCCAAAAAATTATGAAATGTCGGGTAACTCCAGCCTGTCACCTGACTGGACCTAATACAATCTAACCATCCTACCCGGATTCCAAGGAAGAAACAATTATTCAGAGGACACAGGAGTGGACAGTGGCTTCCATCCATTCGGACAGTGTTTCCCAACCTGCAGTCTTCTACTGCTACTGAGGACCATGGAGGAGGAGGCCAGCCCTGAGGAGCCTGAGGAATGGTGTTTAACCCAAGGGTGTAGCTTAGCGCAGGACTTCACAGGGCACTTAGTGTCCCGGGCCCTGGACAGTGCAGGAGGGGCCTACTGAACCCTGCTTTGAGGGTTCTCGAGGTGGCAATGAATCCCGGAAGACAGTTCAGCAAAAGCACTCAGGAAATCCTACGTCATGCTAATGCCAGTTCCAGAGAGTGCAAGACAAACACTTCCAGAAGCCGTGTGCCTGCTCTTCCCAAATTTCCCAGGAGACGCTAAGAACCAGCCTCGGGCTGGGCCTCAGTTTCCCAGGAGAGAGCAGCCCTGCCCCTCACTGTGCTGTGGCTGGCTTGGGCTCTCCCACCCCTGCCGCAGGCACAGAGCTGCATTTCATCCACCGGGAGCCAATTGGTTCCCCTCTTTCCTCGTCATCAGCCCCAGCCAAGGCGGGCAAGGGTTACCAGCGGCCTTTCCCGAGCCTCCCAGGCTTCCGATTTCATCCTTGAGCCTCAGTTCCCGGTGGCTTTTGCCACAAGCTCTCTGATTCGAGCATGAGAGGCCCGGCCTGCACCTGCCCAGGGTCTCCAGGGGACCCCACAACCCACCAAAGCAGCCTTTCCAGGAGCGCTGCTAAGGGACACAGGGCAGGGCACTTTGCTCTCCCAATAAACCTTCAACTAAAAATGCAAAATTGAAGCTCACCCTGCCATTCGTTACCCTTGCAGCAACGAACAAGCCACTTCAATTTTCTGGTTCAGGCCGGGGATTTACCTCAGTGGTTCTGCCACCTGCCTCTCAAGCGCAAGAACCCGAGTTCGATCCCTGGTACCAAAAATAAAAATAAAAAATAAAAATAAATTCTCTGGTTCCCACAGTCCAAACCCAACTGACTTCTGCAATCCCTTGCCACTGTGGTGTCCCAAGCTTTTACAACTCTAGAGTAAAATAAATGCAAAGCCTAGGTACGGTTGGATGCATCTGCCTTCCTTAGCAACATTCAAACAGCTTTCCACTCCTGCGAGGGCCCATCATGACCTGAGCTGTTGCTGCATGCAGGCCCCACTGAACATGCAAAATCTGTCTTATTCCCCCTCTGCACAACTCGTAGAGGAGGAGACTGCAGCCTTGGGACCATTTTACCTACGTGCAGGGTGTTCCCGGCCACAGGTCACACCAACTGCAATCTGCTTGGTCAAAGGAGCAGCCCTGTGCTGCACAGGGCACCCTGGCAGAGTTATCACTGTCCCTACCCCATATTCCAGACGCTAGGGACCTGTGGACTGTGAAACTAGCAATGCTGATGGACTAGGGATCACTGGGAAACTGGGGTTTTCTGGCACTTACACACTACTCAGCTGAAATCATCTGCAATGAGTGTGTTAGACATAAGTCGTGTGCTCACCGTGCACAAAGCTGTCCTGGCAGAATTTCCCGGTGGTGGCTCTGAGCTGGGCCCAGTCCAGGGGTCTGTGTCCGGAACATCCTCACCTGTGAAGCCCAAATGCCGGCCACACCCACCCACTCCGCTGGTGACAGAGTGGCCGCTCTTCAGAGTTACGTGCAATGTTGCAACAGGGGAATCTCGAGTTTGCAGCTTGTCACTACCCTGTCACACTGCCGGGTCTCATGGGGCAGTCAGATGGTCCCTCCCCAGGGAACCCAAGTCTGGCTTCCAGAGCCGGGAGGACCTCAGAGTTCCTGTTCTCAGCAGAGTCCTTGGCACAGCCAGAGCAAAGGCCCAGGGGAGAAACGGGTCACCCGGGGCCTCAGGGCCGTCCCATTCCGGGGCTGGGGTCCAGGTCTTTGGACTCCAGCCCCACTTCTCATCCCCAGTGAGCACATGAAGATGATCTTCAGTTCTTAGGGAAATTAGATCTCAGAAGAGAGGACAACAAATGTTGGCACTGTGTCCTCTCGTGCTCGTGAGGACTCCGCTTGTGGAGGCCAACTGTTTATGGAAAGGCACCTCCTGAAAAACTTTATTTTTCTAACCGTCATCATGCGCTTGTGGAAAAACTTAGCTCAATGATAAACAACAGAACAGAAACTCTGGGGCAAACCAGATTCCTCCATCTTGCTTTTGGTGTTTGTTTTCTTTTGCTGTACACAGACTTCTACCCTTGCATCCATCTCCCTCCCCAGATGTAATTCTCCAAGCTGGAGATAACTGGTTTCACTGTGGGCAGAGAGCGGAAGTCCGAGCTTTCTGTAAAGAGCCAGAGAGAAAACACTCTAGGCTTTGCAGTTCATGCGGTGAATTAGTCTGGGTTCTCCAGAGAAGTAGAGCCACGGGATGAGAACTTGGGCCACACAATGACAGAGGCCAAGAAGTCCGACAATCCACCATCCAAAAGCTGGAGACCCAGGAAAGCTGAGATGTAGCTGGGAATCCCGGGAGTCAGGGAGCCAGTGGGGCCAATTTCACTCCCAGCCTGAAGTCCTAAGGGCCAGGAGTGCCGAGGATGAGACAAGATCGCTGTCCTGGCTCAGGGAGACAGGCAGAGAACAAAGACACCTTTTTATTCAACCAGGTGTGATGTGTCCCACTAGTATGTTGAATGTTTAAAGTTTTTAAAAACTTGAATATAGTAAAACTCACATTGCTATTAATCCCGTCACTTCGAATACACTTATCCCATTGTTTTTGCCTCTTTCTGTAGCAGCTCTAGAAGTGCTCTTTTGGGAGTGACTTTAGCTGTGCTGCCATGGCTGCCTCAGTGTCCCGAACTGATTCAAAATATTGACCTTTCATGATCATTTTGACTTTGAGGAAGAGCCAGAAGTCACACAATGCCAGTTCAGTGGATAAGAACAGAGCATCGAGTTTTTCATTTGACAGAAATTGCCATAAATGTTTGTTCAGTGCAGGGAACTCAAAAAAATAGTGAATGTTTAAATTTAAAAATTCATGACAATAAATTGCCCTTCATCCCCCTCAAAATACTACTCCTCACTTCAAACACAGCTATCCCATTGTTCTTGGCACTGTGTCTTTTACTATAGTAAGTTTTCTTTTTTTATTTTTAAAATAACTATTCTCAAACACAGACACATACAAAAATTAAAACCATTCAAAGAACAACGCAAGGGGAAAAAAGCTACAATAATATTCAAATACAGTAGAACTCAACCAAAACAAAACTGAAAAGCCACTTAAACATTTTTCCATATAACTTAAAAAAGCACCTCAAGCACCAACAAGACACCAGAGGATGTGATTTGTTTCAGAAAGGTCCCCAAAACCAACACTGAACAAATAATGATCTGGAAAAAAACTCCAGTTAGTTAGCAGACTCCACATAAAAGTTTTCATTTTAATTTAAACATTCAATGTATTTTTCGACCACCCCTTGTGTTCAGGCCATGAGTGGACTGGACGACGTCAGCCCTCCATGGGAAGGGCCAGCTGCTGTATCAGTTCCATTTCATCAGTTCCAGAATCAGTACCAATTCAAGTGTCAGTCTGTTCCGGAGATGCCCTCTCACACACCACGGAAACGATGCTCACAGGAACTGGTGGCTGTCACTGAGGTGACATAAAAATATGACACGAGGTCTGGGCCACAAGTGCTCAGCACTGTCCTTGGGAGAAGGCAGGCACAGACCACGTTCAAACACACGCGTGGCCCTGTGCCAGCAGTGCTCCATGTACAGGGACAGCAGCGGGCCAGACGTGGCCAGCAGGCCATGGTCTGCCACCGCACCACTGTCACTTACATGAGGAAAGTCCAGTGAGTCACCGTGGCCTCGATGGATACAGGTCAGAGTTCTCCAAGCATTAATTTCACCGATCTTTCAGCATTTTGCCGGGGATGCCATCACTGTGTGGCCATAAGAACTGCCATGTTGTGAAGATCGTCCAAAGTGCACTGCAGCCAGGGCTTGTGGAGACGCTGATGTTCAGGACCTCTGACCCAAGAGTCGGGAAGGGATGAGCTGCAGGTAAAGAAGGCCTGCGAAGCAGAGAAGCACTGGCTACGGCAAAAGCAGTAACATTTTGGGTACAGGAATTTTTTCTCTCACCACCGCTCTGAAATAATCCTAAGCATCCTTTTTCCACAACCCAGATGTTTCCAGGGGTCACTGGAAAGCTCCGCCTCTGGATTTGACAGCGTGAGGTGCTTCGGGGAAGAGCCCATCAAATGTCCCCCGCTCCCGACAGCCCTGGCCTGACTGCTCCTCACGGACCTGCTGGAGTTGGGCAAGGTTTGTCCCCTGGGGCCCCAGGGAAGCTCCGAAGAGCGAGCGGAAAGCCTAATGTGTGAAAATTCACAGAGAAAGGGGGAGGCGCAGCCTGCCCTGGGCCCGTGCGATGTTGGATGAAACTGTGTCACCAGCCCAGTCCCCTGCACCATTTCCAGGGAGGTAAATCCCCAGAAACAGTGAGAACCTTTCCCACCCCATTCCCAGGACTTGGGCAGAAGAGAGAAGGGGAGAGCCTCAACATGCTCCATCAGCTCTGCGTCCCCTACACCCTGCTGAGTCCAAATTACACAAAGCTCACCGTGGGCTGCATTCACGGACCCAAAAACAAAGTGGTGACACTCACGGAGACGGAATCCACAGAGACAGAAGCCAAGGAGCCACTGTGGCAACAGCTACAGTAAACCCGACCCGTGGCTCCGGGCAGCCACCCCAGAGTGTTCAGGACGGGCCAGCGCCTGCAGCTGGCCCCCTGGGCTCCTTCCTCTGACCCAGGACTGACTACGAAGCCAGCTCCCTCTGGCTCACAGCTTCCACGTGTCCTGCCCAACCCCTAGCGTCTGTGCCCTCACCATCCACCATGAGCTATGGAGCCCCTGAGGCCCGGACACAACAGCCTGAGCCCCCCACCTGCTCCTCTCCAGCCCCTCAGGGAAGCAGGCTCCCTCCCACAGCTGTGTCCCTCCCATGGACCTATATGTGCACGGTGTGGATCCAACCCACCTCAGCCAAAACTAAAAGTGCGGTCGGTTTACACCAAAGGCTTCAAATCCTTTACAAGGCCCATCCGAGGCTGTTCTCCCAGCTCTGGCCCTCACTAGCTCAGGGCTGGACAAGACACCCTGCTACTGGACCACTAAGGCCCAGCATCCCTCCCCCTGGCCTTCAGTCCGTTTTCTATGCATCACCACAAAAATGCATTGGCTGATGCATTTTGAACACGGGCAAGTCCGACAGGGGAGGCACATGCCACTGACTGACCTTACCCTCAGCCTGCTGTGGACACCAGGGTTCATGTCATGAGCAGCAAATGGAAGGGCTGTGACCGCCTGCAGGGCCCCGCTTGAGCTCCTGGGATGGCAGGAGCTCGAGCTAAAGGAAGGCTGAGCTGTGGCCACCAGGTGGGGAGTGGACAGGAGACATGGGGTCCCCACAGGGGGTGGAGCAGGACTGTCAGGGGACCAGAGGGTCCTGGGAGGCGACGTGGCAGGCAGAGCTATGATACCACAGACAGTGGACTGAGCTCAAAGCCATCTTCTTGGATTCAGATTGTCACAGTATAACAACAGTCAACTGGAGGAAACCTGACAGCAACAGCTTTAGGATATAAAAAAAGATCAGACAAATCTAGTCATTTGAGAGTAACACAACAGTCTCAATAGGGCAAATGAAAACATTTTCAGCAAAGTCTTGGTGAAAACATAGACCAGAACATATTAACAAGCTCAATTTAACAGTCATATACACGTGACCAAGTTTCATTCCTGCAACCAGGCCGTTAATGAATTGGTCACTAAATGAGAACTTGTACTAGTATGCCCATTACAGTATTCGGAACAAAGAAGTGGTCAAAGGAAACGCCAACCTGAGGACTCTGCTTCTATTTGCATAACTCTCACATGCAGTGCTGCTGTGTATAACAGAACATAAAGCTGCAGCGCTGTACTGTACAATCAGCAAAAATCACAGCACTATATAAACAAGGTGTATAAACAAGACATTGAGCCTCTACGACTAAGATCCACAGAGTTGTACAGAAAAAAAGATGAGCTGTAAGTCCAAGCTGTGGGTCTGAAATCTGCACAGCATGCCTCAGTTGCGAGTCCAAAAAGTCGTTAAACAGGTAGATTGTTAAAGAAGGAATATCTGTGTAGAAGTCAGACTGCAGCAATTAAAGGATGCATATTCTGAAGCACATGTGTTTTGAATTCTCCCCCCAGAAAACATTATATGTCCTCTTTCGCCTATACCAGTGATGGTGAACCTTTCAGAGCTTTCAATGATAACAAACAGCCTGCTGTGGCACATATGCCAGAGGTTCACTACCACTGATCTATACGTTAATAAAATGCACTTAAAATTCTTAGAAAAAAAACAGACAAAAGTCCGTGAGCCACTCTCTGAAAGGAGTTTCAGGCTACAGTGCAGGTTTGACCATTTCCAGGGGTATTATCATGCAGACCACGTTACTGACACAATGAAATTGCGTGAGAAACGGGTATGTTCATTAAGGCCCGTGCATTAAGAAAAGAAATCTCTGAAAACACTCATGTCAAACCATAAATCATGGTGGGAAAAGAAATACTTAGAGCTAAACAATAATAAAAATACCATTAGCCAGAGCACAGCTAAAGTGATTCTCTGGAAATTTATAGAAATGACAGATTGAGAATTAATGAACAACGTATCTAATTTGAGTTAAATTTTTTTAAAACTCTAATCAATTCAAAGGAAGCAAAGAAAAAGATCATATTACCAAAATATACAGACAATAAACATACCTTAGAAAGGATAAATAAAAAAATAATTATAGGGCCTGGGATTTAGCTCAGTGGTTCTGCTGCCTGCCTCACAAGCACAAGGTCCCAAGTTCGATCCCCGGTACCAAAAACAACAACAGCAAAATTACTTATAAAATATGCATAAATGTCTTGCTAGATGAACGAAAAAACTGATGATAGGAATTTTAAAAGGAACAGAATTATGTATAGAACTGTGATTAAACACAGCAGCTATTAATAACTATGAGTAATTTCTGTAAGTAATTTCGGTTATAAAATGTTTATTATCCTCTGAAAATAACACTTTTTCCTGTGAGTGAACCTCATCTGTTTTTATTCTAAAACACTAATACAACTTGATACTAAAATTCAGACAAGGGCAATATTAGAAATGAAAATTAAGTCTACAAAATACCAGGAAGCCAAAGGTAGCAGTATCTCAAACTCAATGTGTCTGCTATAAATAATACACACGTGGAGTTTAATTTCATTATTTAACTCCAAATGTGTTTTAGGGAGAATTTTACATTGTTTATATTTCTTACTGCAATAGAATTAATTGATAACTTTTTATACTCTTATATGATGTGTTTTTGTTTTCTAGTTCTTTCCATTTTCTGGTCATATAGATTAGAAATTCTTTTATTTTCTTATCTACAGTTATTTGGAAGAAGATGTATCCTATTTTAAAATCTATCAATGTCACTTTTATATTTAGTGAGTATCTATTCAAACATTTAGTTCTTTATAAAAATCAAGAAAATAATACTTCTGTCTCCCACAGGCACAGAATGGAGTTGGGGCATTTCCTGTCCCTCTGCCCGGCCCGAGCGCCTGTCGTCCTCCGTACCGTGTACCCCAGCACAATACCCTCCTCGGCCCCCTTTCCCAGAGAGGACCACAGCTAGGAACCTGCACGCTGGGCACTCACCCGCGGCTGGGAGCCCCAGTCCTGTCAGGCCCGGGCGACCTGGCTTCTCCCCTTGCTGGAGCCGCCTTGAGGACCCATGGCAGGCTCTGGTCCCTCCCTCCCAGGTTCTCACTGTCACTCTCTCGGGTCCGTGGGATCAGTACAGGAGCTGAGCACAGTCGCAGGGGTCCAAGATGTGGTGAGGGCCAGGACAGTCCACGAAGCAGACTGACCGTCCCTGACGCTCGGGGCAAGAACTCTTCACCTCAGATGAGAGGCCGGCCGTGCGGGCCTGGCAGCCCCCAATGCTTCTCACCGCCT